AAGCTAAATCTTACTACAAGAGTCTAATTTTCCCAGGTGGTTGGAAGGTGAAAGGGTGTTTTAGGAGGAAATAGCATAGACAAAGAGGTGAGGGCTCGAGAAAATAGTGTTTATGGGAATGTGAATGCTGTGGATGGTTGAAGTGCCAGGATACAAGATGGAGAGGTGAGAGATGACCCTGGAAAGAGGCCAAGGCCGGTTAATAATACCTTATTTAACTGTTAAGGAGCGTGAATCTCTCTTGTGACCCCAAAGAAAAGGATTGCTTTAAAGCCAATGTTGCCAACCAGAAATTCTCAAGGGTGTCCTGGAATCCAAAAGAGCATCTGAGAATAAAGAAATTTCCTGCAAATGACACATTAAGCAAGAACCTTTTTGAAGTTCAGTTTAGTTCCAGAACCCCTGTTCTCCCCCACTGCTTCCCACAATTTGCTTTTGCTTCTTTACTCCGGGTTAAGATGGAAACTCTTCCATTGCAGGTTTGAGTGCGATTCTTTCCTCCTTGGCTTGACCCTGGGGCCCTCCAACCTGTAACTGAGGGATTGTGACAACTCCTGACATTTTCTCATCACAGTTTCCAAACGTTGGGGAAATCAGAGGCATCACAGACGCACTCCCTGGGTGGTGATATTTACCTCCAAATGCGAAAGAGGCAGATGCCAGCCCAATCAGGCACACAGGTAACTTTGCCCTCTTGTCAATGATCTCAGCTGGCAGGCTAGGCCAGCCCCACACCGGGGTGCTAAGCCTCCTGCTCACCGTAACTGGAGACCCAAAACCATCCTTAATTAAGTTCTTTCCTGACGGCTGCCAGGTGTGCCCTTCAGCAAGAGAGTGTTAATTCCAGCCTCCGGGGGACAGACATCCAGACCCCTTTCCGGACACGTCTGCTCTCCAGTTCAGCCCCTACCTGGAAACCCCCTCCCGCGCCCCCACGGCCCCCCCTTCCTATGGACGGGGGAGTTGCCTGTTACGTTGCAGCTGCCGGGAAGTCCACTCAACGTCTAGCGCCCACCCGGGCGGGCCCCGCAAGTATATAAAGACCGCGGAGAGCGAGTGGGACAAGACGGCGCGTCGGAAGAGAACGAAGGGAAGAAAAGTGATCGAGAGGCCGCTGAACATCCTCTCCCCGGCGCAGCGGGAGCCGCCCGAGGCAGCTTCCCGGTGACAGGTAAGGGCGCAGCGGCGCGGAACCTCAATCTTATCCCCAGACCCCCTGCTCCGGGGGGCCTTGGGATGCTGTCGCCTAGCTCCGATCTCAGAGGCATCTTTTGTCTCGCTGCCGTCCTGAATTCTTTGAAAACTTTCTGTGCTGGGCGTGGCGTGGGAAGCCGCTGGCAGCGGAACAGCAAGGACTGGCCTCTCTGGACGGCCGGAGAGCCGCTGCGACGCTGAATGTGGTGACTTTCAGGAGTTGGCGGCCGCGTCTGTCCCGGGGAAAGGGACTCTTGAGGAGTCCTACCCGTATTCTGGGGAGACTCCAGGAGACCCAGTCTTTTGGGACTTCTGATTTGCCGGGTAGGTGTCACTTCTTAAAAGATACCATATACGCTAGCGTAAATTGATGTTGAAAACGGGGGCAGAAGAGAAGAGGCTAAAAGTCACAACAAACTCCCTGCGTTCCAGACTTCTTTGAATTCAGATTTTTGAAACTTCGTTTCCCTGCCCACCTTAGCGACCCCGACGTGGCTGCGCTTAGAGAATGACACAGTCTGCTCTACATGAGCTGCTGGTGTTAAAAAGAGGTGGCCGGATGGGAACTGTCCACGGTCCTGAACCACCCCGTCTCTGCCCTCAATAGGATCGCAGAAGGGACCTCCAATCCCGCAGATCTTAGATCGCGGGGCAGCAGCAGCAGCACTAGGAGGTGATGGAAGCTCAGGCAAGACGCACGCTCAGGCAAGGTGGGTTCCCAGTGAGGGAGGGAGAGTCTGCAGAGCATTTGGATCCCCCAAATTCTTCGTGTATAAATGGGGAGCCGGTGGTTCTCACAGAAGTGCTGGAAGAAGCTCTTGTCTTGTTTGTGTTAAGATCTATAGATCATGGCTTATTTAATGACATAATATTCCTTTGACATTGTTTTAGGACTTGATGGGTGTGTATCCAGGTGCCAGGATGAAACTCTGCTCCTCTGTTACTCTAATCTTTACAGACTGGCATGGCCCGTGTGCAATTTTAGAGGGCCAATTTTAGAGGGGGGTGGGGGAGAGAAGGACTGGGAGTGTGGGATTAGCAGAGGCAAACTAATATATATAGGATGGATTAAACAACAAGGTCCTACTGTATTCAATATCATGTGATAAACAATAATGGAAAAGAATATTAAAAATGAAATTAAATAAAACAAAATGTTTTGTTTAGCTCATAGATAATTTACCAACACATATGAATTTCTAATTAGTGTTGTTCTGTTATAGTTAATGTCAAGATTAGCAAATTACAAGTTTATATTTACTTTTCCAAGCTTTCAATTATTCGACACTCCCTACTTACAAAAAGCACATTTGACATCTACCTATTACTTTATTGCTTTAAAAACATGACAGTATAATATTTGTTTATTGTAGAAAAATACAAAAATATACATGAGCAGAAAGAAGATAAGTTGCTTTCAGGAAGCTACCTAATATTTTAGCAGGAGACTGCAGCTCTGAGAGGTGGGGAGTGAGGATGTTATCATGTTGTATAATATAGCCCATGGGGCAAGAGAGGAAACACTGTCTGAGACTTTTCAGGAAGGTCTGATATCATGAGGTAGGTTTTTAGAAAATGGAAGTCATCCCAGAATGGACAACTTTGAGAAGAACTGAAATATAGTCGAGGTGACTGTCAGCCCTGTATGACTTTACTTTCTTCTCTACTAAGATGCTATTTTACACTTGTCCATAGTGTATAAGGCTTCCTAGGTGGCACCGGTGGTTTAAAAAAAAAAAAACAACCCAACTGCCAGTGCAGGAGATACAGGAGACTTGGGCTGGATCCCTGGATTGGGAAGATTCCCTGGAGGAGGGCATGGCAACCCACTCTAGTTATTCTTACCCGGAGAATCCATGGACAGAGGAGCCTGAGGGGCCACAGTCCATAGGTTTGCAAAAGAGTCAGACACAACTTAGTGAGTAAACAATAACAACAGCATAGTAATATAAAACTACCACTTTTCTGCTTCTCTTTTAAACTTGGGCATTTTTACTGAGTGAAATGTGCTGTGTGGTCTCAGAGATTTAACATAAATTACCTTGTCCACCAAATTCAGGCTTGTACTTGAACTGGAGCACCAAAAGTCTACAACAGGAGCAGCCTGTCCTCGGTCACAACTGGACGCCAGGTTGACCAGTGTTCTCCTAGTTACACTGTGATGCAGATAGGCCAGCTCACTGGCTACCAGCACCATCTAATGGCTGCTCTGAAAACACTCGGGCTGTGCTTGGCAACCATTCAGAAGGGAGCCCTTTTGGCTCAGCTTTTGGGGAAAGGAGTGGGGTGGGACAGAGAGAAGGAAGTGGCTTCCTGAAGCAGACAATGAGAGCCAGTGGGAAATTTCACTTCCAAAGCTGTCCCTATAAAAGAGATTTGGCCCATGCCTCCACAAATAGGAGATTCCTTTGGGCAAATATTTTTAAATCAGAAGAGACAATTAGTCATCTACACCTTAATATAAATTTCTTTTCTTATCTAATTAGATTTCTTCCATCATGGCTGGGTTGAAAAGACCTGAAATCTAGAATGACTGTGGCGTGCATGGTGACAGGGCTTAGGGTCATTTTGGAGGGGAGACCTTTGTGAGGGGTGGCAGGGCAGTGTGAAAGCTAGAGGGATGGGAGAAATGCTGGGCACAGCAGGCAAAAGGCAGCATTGATTCTCCCTTTTACTGCATCTGGACCTCTTTAATTAAGCATCTGCCCAGTGGTGCTTCCTGATTTCTCTGAGAAAGTGTCTTTGGAAGGTGTTCATGATGTGATGTAGTTCTCTTCTGCTCTGTGTGATCATGTTCTTCCTTTCCACAGCAACAGCATCTTCAAGTCCAGCTATTTCAGACTATATTTGAGAGACTCAGAGAACAATAGGAGGCCTGATATATATTGTATTCAGGAGATGAACCAGTTTTAAATGGGGGTCTACTTTAAAAATAAATCTCCAAAATGTCTGCTTCTCATTCCTTTGGAAGCAGGAATACGTCCATAACATGCTACATTAAAAAAGGAGTTCTCAGGGCTGCCAACCTTCCAGTAGAGGTTGAGTAGTAGTATATTTCTCCTACATTAGAAAAAAATAAAAATAAAAATAAATAATAAATAAATCTCCAAAGTCACAGGGGTCTAGGAAATAGTGATTCCCTGAGTGGTTTATGTACAGGACATCAAAATGGGTTGGCTGAGGTTTTGGCTCAGTTGGACAGAAGTTTCATTTGCCATTATGCAAACCAACTATTCATAGGAAGTGGAGTTTCTGAGGAATGATAGAATCCTGGTGGAGAGGAGTAGACCATCTCGAGCAGGAATTTCACAGTCGTTTGTCTTCCCCAAGTTACTCCTTGAATCTAGAGTGTTAGAACTTTAGTTTCCTGAAGATGGGGAAATAGAAAAGATCAGTGATGGAAACAAGAGAACTTGGCCATACCTCATTGTGAAAAACCCAAGTCATTGTCTCTTTTTGGGTCTCAGTTTCCTCATCTCTCAAATAAGGGGCCATACCAAATGACCCCTAAAATAGTTTCCAACCCTAACATCCTTTGGGGTCTAATTTTTAATAGGAGATAAAGGGAAAACTGCAGTTTACCCAGGTCCCACTGCCCTCCTCTCTATTACAACTCACACGACCACCCTGCACACCAACCTGCTCCTTGAGCTGCTCTTGTCCTCAAAAAGCCTTGAGCTCCACAAATGAGAGTATTGTTAATGTTGGCTCACGGTCCTTCCTGATGAGTGGCCAACATTGTTCTGCTCCTTGCAGGGGTCCCACTCATCTTGTTTGCCTCTGTAGAGCCTCAGCCAGCCTGGAAGATGCCGAGATTGTGCAGCAGTCGTTCGGGCGCCCTGCTGCTGGCCTTGCTGCTTCAGGCCTCCATGGAAGTGCGTGGTTGGTGCCTGGAGAGCAGCCAGTGTCAGGATCTCACCACGGAAAGTAACCTGCTGGTACGTGGGCTGTGGCCACCATCTTGATTTGGGTATCAGATGGTACTGGGGTGGGGACAGCACAAAAAAAGGAGCATGCAAAAGGAGAGATTCATTTCCAGAGATATGGCAAACTCAACCAAGGGCAGGAATAGACCTCTAGGGTGAAGTAAGAATTAGGCCAAGGAAGGGAGGAAGCAGCTTCAGGGAGATGGGTTTGCTCCATAATGTCCTCCTGATTATCTTTACTTCCTGCCTGTCTTCTTGTAAAGAGATCCACTCCTTTTAAGCTGTTTAGAGATAGTGCCATTAAAATAAACAATACTAATGATAGTAATAACCATAATTGCTCCCTCGACTGACCCTACCTCTTCTCTCAATCTTTTAGCCTTCAAATTATTCCTTTTTAGATAACCTCATATGACTTTCCATTTCCATTCCATTTTACTTTCCTTGTATCTGCTACCAGTTACAAAGTCAGGAAGATAATATCACAAACCATCTCTAGAAGGAAAAACTCAGGTGCCATTTTCCACTAACTGGTGCCAAATGCCTTTTGCTTCTCAAGGACTGACCTTCTGCAGCCTTTCCATGGCATATAAAAGCCCTTTGTGCCAGGCTGGAACTCCCTCTAGGTCACCATGGCTTGTGTGTGTATTTGTTATTATTTATTTGTATTGGGAAGTATAAATGAGGAACAATACCAACTAAAGGCTACAAGAAACACTACTGGTGGCCATGACTAAGTTCCATCCTACTGCCTGTACCTGCCTGGCGAGGGTGGAATGCACATCACTACATTCTGTGTGTTTTGTCAGTAGAGAAGCTGAGTTAAGGTGGAAAAAGACTTTCTCAAAAACAGATCAGATTGCATGTAGAATATAAAATAGAAGTAAAGAGCCCAGGAATCCTGTGAGCTCTATTTCCGAGAGACCCAAGAGACTCTTGATTAGAGACACCCATTGCACAGTCTTTCCTGTTGAGAGCTCATCAGGGAAGAAGCACTGGCTGTGGTCAGAGTCTGGAGGTTCTAGTCCCAGTCCCAGTTCTGTCAATGGGCTGTGGAACCTTGCCAAGTTCCTTTCTCCTCTCTGAGAAATTGTGTATCATTATGTGTCCAGGGGAGAGGAGTATGAGATAATTTTTGTTTTCCACTGTTACTATTCTGCAGTGTTATAATTCTAAATTCCTGGAGTATGAAGTTCCCAACTCAACAGAGTAGGTGGGATCCTTCTTTTTCCTCCTTGGTTGTCCCGAGTAACTGAAAACTCAAGGCTGCAGTCCCAAGGTCATTTTCCTAAGCAAATGTGTGCCACAGTTGTCTAGTCACAGACAGCAGACAGGGCTCCGTGACCCCTGCGATGGAAATAATCCTGACTTCCTATCCTTCCATCCAGTTAGAAAGGCACAGGGAAGTGAGTCGCCCCCTCCCTAAGCTCACTGATTGAGGCAAAGACAGGATCAGCTCGGAAGACCTGAAAGAACCAGAGGAAGTGCCAGATGGGTGTGGGCAAGTTTGGAGGGAGATGGCTAGGGGAGGGCATGAGGTACGTTTGCAGACCACTGGGGTACGGCTGAGGCATTATTGAAACCACAGGCCCTGGAAGCCAGACTTCTCCCAAATTTCAACCCAATTCCCTTCCCAGACTCGAACTGAACGATATTTATTTACTCACTATTCATTAAGTGCCGACAACTACCACCCACCTGCCATTTACTGACGAATTCCTATATATCTGGCTTATAAAGTTTAGGACGTTTACCCTACCCACAAAGCTACAACACAAGTACACCATGGACTGGGACGGGGATTTTGTTGTAACTGCCAGGCAGGGGTACCAGGAGCCCAGGAGACAAAAAAGGCGCTATCCGAGCTGAGTCTCAGACGTCTGGGGATGCTCAGAGGTGGGAGTGGGTAGATATCCTCCGCAGTTAGCCCAGTGGGCTCAAGCGCCCAGGCGCCCAGTGGGCGACCCCGCACGTGCGGAGGGAGTGGAGGGAGTGGAGGGCGCTGGCGGCGCGCGTGAGGGGCGGGGGAACGCCGCGGCCCGGAGTGGGCGGGGCCTGACGCTCTCGCGGCTCTCCTGCAGGCGTGCATCCGGGCCTGCAAGCCCGACCTCTCGGCCGAAACGCCGGTGTTCCCTGGCAACGGCGATGAGCAGCCGCTGACTGAGAACCCCCGGAAGTACGTCATGGGCCACTTCCGCTGGGACCGCTTCGGCCGTCGGAATGGTAGCAGCCTCGGCGGAGTGAGCGGTGCGGCCCAGAAGCGCGAGGAGGAAGTGGCGGTGGGCGAAGGCCCCGGGCCCCGCGGCGATGGCGCCGAGACGGGTCCGCGTGAGGACAAGCGTTCTTACTCCATGGAACACTTCCGCTGGGGCAAGCCGGTGGGCAAGAAGCGGCGCCCGGTGAAGGTGTACCCCAACGGCGCCGAGGACGAGTCGGTCCAGGCCTTTCCCCTCGAATTCAAGAGGGAGCTGACCGGGGAGAGGCTCGAGCAGGCGCGCGGCCCTGAGGCCCAGGCTGAGAGCGCAGCCGCCCGGGCTGAGCTGGAGTACGGCCTGGTGGCGGAGGCTGAGGCGGCCGAGAAGAAGGACGAGGGGCCCTATAAGATGGAACACTTCCGCTGGGGCAGCCCGCCCAAGGACAAGCGCTACGGCGGGTTCATGAGCTCCGAGAAGAGCCTAACGCCCCTTGTCACGCTGTTCAAAAACGCCATCATCAAGAACGCCCACAAGAAGGGCCAGTGAAGGCGCAGCAGGCAGGGGCCTCTCTCCGCGGAAAGTTGACCCCGAAGGCCTCTCTTCTGCCCTCCTGCCGTCTCGCAGCCCGGGTGAGGACTCGCCCAGGCAGTGATGGCGCCAGGTATCCCACTTCTTAAAGCTGTCTGTAGTTAAGAAATAAAACCTTTCAAGTTTCACAAATATTGACTGGGTGAATTAAAAACGCATATCCATCAAGTAAAGAGCAGCACATATTGGAGGGGCGATAGTGGTTTCCATGTTACTACGTGTTAATATGTTTCACAGGATATACTGAGAATCAAAGGAAAAGGTACTTCCTCCCCGCCCCTAGCAAATGGGTCTTCTAGGGGTCAAATAAGGTGATGGTTCAGTGTGCTGCATTTCCCACTCTCCATTGAGTGCGAAAAGGCTGATCAGCCAGCTGATGATTCCTCCGAAAGACAGGATTCCTCCTATTACTCTGGTTCCCACCTAAGTCCAAGAGCCAGTGAGACACAGATGAGCCCCAATGGGAACTGGGAGGGCTCTGGGCTCCGAGGTGGGACGTTGTGGTTTATGCCTGTGTGAATCTAGCGATCTGTGAGAACTTAGGCAAGTCTTTGAACTTCTCCAAAGTTTAGTTATCTCATTCCTTCCTGTTATGAATGCTGTGTGAGGGTTAATGAGAAACTGGAGAGGTCATCTTTTCATCAGTGAGAGGCTAAGTGTGAGATTGGTATGGGTTCAGATTTGACGGCTCTCCCAGGCTACCCTCAGATACTCTCAAACACAGAGTCTCACCCACACAGACATATAGCCATGGAGACACATCTGTAGAAATAAAGTATGCACAGATGCTTCTTCCAGCCTCTGGGGCATAAGATTGAAGTCTGTCTTGACCTGCTTGTCATGCCCAAGCTCCCTCTACCCCAGGTTGCCCAGTTTCAGCCTTCTCTTCATGCTCAGGCCTTAACTAGCCTAATAGCTTCCTAACCAACTGGTATCCTGGTCTCCAATTGCTTTTCCCCTAATCCATTGAACAAACTCTTCATATTAATGTATATATAGAAAATCTTGCTTTCTCCACATTAGTTGGCTCAAGACACAATCACCCCACTGCCACTCTTCCATCAGTTCCCAAACAACTGGGCATGACACAACCAGGGCCCTTCTCTGTCAGTTTCACTCTCCTTACCAAACTTCACTTCCCTGGTTTTATCACTTCTTCCATCCTCCTCCATCTTCTGCCTGGAATTCTCCACCATTCCCCTCTATTTTGAATGTTACACTGTTTTCAACATGAATCCGGGCTCAAGTCAACTTCTGCTGGGAAAGATGGGATGTTTTGCAGTCAAGCCTGCTCATTTTCAGGGTTTCTGAAGTCAGCCCCTCTGCACTGGAGAGCTGTCCAGCCCAGATGGCAAGTTTCTTACCGCACACACATATTGTGCTCTTTTCTTTCAAGGAAAGTAAGCTCCACGAGGGCAGAAGCCAGGGGTTGTGTTTCTTATGTCACCAAGATCTTTTCACAAAGTTGGGGCCACTGGTTTGTAGTCACACATTCAGAGAGTGCATACACAGAGATGCACACCGCCATGTCAACTGCATCAGTCGATGATACAGATCAAAACCAGCTGGGGAATATTTCTGTATGGCACTTCTATATTTACTTCCATATTTTGATATGGATGTTCACAATTAAAACTGGAATGCACCTGGGAAGTCCTGATAGGGAACAAGAAAGCCAGACTCAAGATAAAGTCTCCCTCAATGTGGGTTCTATGAAATGGGGTTGAATCCTAGTTGCTGTAATGAAGCAATGTTCCAGGCCTTCTCATCTGAGGATGCTCCCATGCTGGGAATCCTGGGCCTCCTGTTTACATCTTGGTAGCTTCCTTTCGGAGAAGGCAATGGCACCCCACTCCAGTACTCTTGTCTGGAAAATCCCATGGACGGAGGAGCCTGGTAGGCTGAAGTCCATGGGGTTGCTAAGAGTTGGACACGACTGAGCGACTTCACTTCACTTTTCACTTTTATGCATTGGAGAAGGAAATGGCAACCCACTCCAGTGTTCTTGCCTAGAGAATCCCAGGGACCGTGGAGCCTGGTGGGCTTCCGTCTATGGGGTCGCACAGAGTTGGACATGACTGAAGTGATTTAGCAGCAGCAGCAGCAGCAGCATCCTTTCACTTACTCCCCTTCCGTTCAAGGCAAGTAAAGTAATAGTAGGTGGGGGTGGCTAAATGTCAGTGGTTAATGCTGGTGGTATTTTCAGATCCTGTTTGTGTCTCAAAAAACCATTTACTTTAAAGAAATCAAATACACAACTGTGCAGTGACAACATTAACATTTATTTGAAAAGGGCACTGGGAATTCACAACTAATAGTCCCAAAGAATAATCTTGCTAAGAGTCCTTCTTCCTACACACTGAACACCCCCCATCCCCACCCCAGTCCTCCTTCCCCTTCCTTCAAATTACTTTGATTCGATGAGTTCAAAATACAGAAAACTTCCACAGGCACTAATTCTGCACTCACATATAAATACATCAGCAGTTATATACAAACACTGTCAACTATGAACTACATTATACACACATGCACACGCACGGGCACACACACTCAACCAGGTCATGAAGGTCTTAAGTGGACACAGACATGTTATAATGTATGAGTAACGCTGCAGCATTTGTGGATTTACAGCCCTGCCCTCCACAGGCCAGAATCAACAGCCGTGGAGGAAGAGCTCAAAAGGGGAAGGTGATGTGCTGGGGCCCCAAGGTCCCCTGAAGGAGAAAAGCCTTGGTCAACCTAGTTGGTGATAAAAGACAGAATGGAAAACAGACCACAGAGCCCTCCCACAGGTCTGTGTCCCCTCCCAGCTCCCCCACTTGGCAGGCTGCACCATCACCGTTCTGCAGACTTCAATCCTAGGCCAGATTTGGGATAAGGGGCATTTTAACTAGAAGGTTTCTAGGGTCATGAGATGAAGAAGTAACACGCTGCCCTAAGCCTTCTCCCCGGACATAAGGCAGATATCTTGTTTCAGCACAACCTGCCTTTTCAGGGTCTATGGGTCCAGAGAATTGGGTGTGGTCTGCCTTGAGGAGCCTCCCTCCCTGTCTACCATCAAACTTAATATTCAGCCTAACAGCTCAGGTCTAGTCTCTTCCCATAAGCCCCAACTGGCCAGCTGCCATTTCATGGTCATGAAAAGGAATTGGGAGAAACAGCCTCACTTCTCAATGAGACACTTTCTACCCAGGGACAATGGAATAGTATCTGGAAGGTTTCCTGACCCAGGGGCCCCAAGTGAAGCCAAGAGGTCTGGCCTTTTAGGCATCAAAGCAACTGCAAGGCTGTTCTGATCCTTAAGCCAGTTGAAACATATCCTCTGGGACGGAGAACACCCGGAGTAAAGGGCAGTGCCTCCTTGACCCTTGCACTTCAGGCACTTTAGATGGTCCCAGCCCTGCCTTTCACCTCTCATTTGTCTATACTGATGCTTGAGGTGGAGGGCTGGACAGAGGAGAATGTCTGAAGACTTTTCTATTTCTTCTTCTGATCCACCCAGGCTCCTTCTCTGGGGAGGAGGTGTTCAGAAGTCAAGAAATCACTTATTTCTACTTTTCAGAAAGAGGAAAATGGGAACAGGCACTGGCCATGGTGGATCCCTTTGCAAGGAAAACCAGAAGGAGCCTCCAGGGTCACACTGGGGTTCTCCTCTCAGCTGCTTCTGACACACTCATGTGACTCAACCAAGTTCAGTGAACTTCCAAATCCCCAGTACATCCGTGCTACTGGGTTCTGTGAGCATTCGAGCCAATGGGCCCTACCCCTTGCCCATGAAGATGAGTCTTCAGTGGTTTGAGGGAGAAACTGGTTTGGATGGCTTTGTTAACTCAAAATCATAACACAGAAGGGTAGCAAAGAGGGCTGGTCACTTGACACAGTGTCACTAGATCCCATAGGGCTTGGAAGGCAGGAAGAGTGATGCTAGGCTGAAAGCCTGGGTACCCACCATCCTCTGCTTGCCTTCTCTCCTAGGGTTTGGGAGGGCGAGGGGAGGGTGAAGGAGACTGCTTAATTTATTATTGAATTGTTTGAATTAATGTTCATCTTAAACTTTCTGATTCCGAGGCGTCTTTGACTAGAAGCCAGATTCTACAGCATGTCAGCAGGCAAGCCAGTATTCCACTGAGTGTGATTTTAAATTGAAACTGAGAAGAAAGCCACTCAAGATGCAGTCAGGTCTCCAAAAGCAGCACATCTCTGCTAGGCAGCGATGACATAGAGAGAAAGCTGTTTCAGACAGAGGAAACAGCAGTGGAGTGTCTGAAGACAGACATCCTGTACCTTTTCCTTCACTCTGTTCCCAGGGTGGGGATGAGGGAGAGACAGTAGACGGACTCAGAGGTCTCTGGTTCTGGGGCTGGCACTAAGAAGGAGGCTCTAGGGAATGACTCCCATGTCCCAGAGCCAGGACCCCCAGGCAGGGCTCAGAGTACAGATGCCACGGGGTGGACCCCACAGTCAGAGAAGCATGAGAGAAACAGGGCCTCAAGTCAAAGCCGAGCAGGGGAAGAGCCAGTGAAGACATGATTGTGGTTCAAGATTTAGATTTTCTCCAACATGTCTTCCAAAGGTTACTTGTCTTCAAGTTTGTTTCTAGTTATTTTAATCTTGGTTTCTTAATAAAGAGATATTAAAGTAAAGAGAGATCTCAGTCCATGCTTATAAAGTTGGGTTGAGCATTAGCCAAAAGCCATAGCGGAGAGCCAAAGGCCATGGTGGGAGCAGGGGCCAGCCCCCCTTGTCCCCAGAGTCATGTAGACCCTCTGCAAGTTGCAGGCTCACAGCACAGAGGCAGCGATCAAGGCAGGAAACTACAGGAATGAGGGTCAGACAGCCCCCCTATCCAACAAGTTTACTGCACATGCAGTAAGAAAGTACCTAGGTTCAGATTCTTCTGGTTTGGGCAAATACAGCTCTCTGTTCTGATAACCCGGCTCTCACAGTGCACCTGCGTTGGGCCGTGCACAGGGGTGTGATCTGGGGGCGGGGGGGGCGGTGCGTCTCGAGAAGACTGACCTCTCCTTAGCAGAAAGGGCCTGCTTCTGACCCCACCCCACACTGTCTAAAACTGTACCCTCAAAAGGGGTTCCTTTGGGTCAAGAAATCTACTCACTCTCCCTCTTTTCAAAAGCAGTTTCTCCAGGGAGGAATCATTTGACCATTCTCCCCTTCTTGTGAGTCATATCAGCTCAAAAGTTACAGGTTAGACTGGAAAAGAAGCAAAGGGCTACCCTGGGCCAGAGGGTGCTTCCCCAGAAAGAGGCCCAGGGAAGGTTCTGCCAGAGGTGGCTCACATTGGGATCTTCAGGAAGAAAGGCATCAAAGAGAGAGAATCAACTTGGAAGAACATGCCTCTGGACGAAGGAGGGGAGACGCTACAGAGGGGGACAGACTTGCCCACTTCTGCCTGCTGCTTCATAACAGGAGGCCAGCAGTTGGGGAGCAGGAGCCCCCTCTATCAGCGGCTTCATCCTCTGCTGCCCCCCACCCCTGCCATGGGGTGTCTACCCCAGCTCCTGTTATAAAGGCTCAATATTAACCAACATTAGAAAGAACCATGGAGAGGCAGCAACTGGCAGCGTGAGCCAGGGAGTGGAAGAGACATCAAAGATTTGGAGGCCTTTGGTCCCTCAAATGGGGGAGGAGGAGGGGACGCTCTGGAGGAGATCAACGCCCAGATGCCACTGCTTTGCAGGAGGAGCTGCCCTCACTTCCTCCTTATCACGTCTTCAGCTTCCTGTGACCAACTGTGTCTCCATCTAGTTCCCTCGTGGGGGAATGGGAACTGTGCCGCTCCCTGCCCAGGACCCCACACCCCCATCCCCCGCTGCCCCCATAGAAGCCATCACTCACTACATTAAGCACAGCTTCCTGGGACCTCAGCCTCTCTCTGCAGGACCTCCCCTCCACCCCCGCCCCCTCACTTTTGGCCCCAGGCTGACACTGAGGAGGAGACAACAGGCACAGGTGGGATGCTTATTGGCCCCAGAGGGGCAGGTGGCCGGATCTCCCTCAGGGAAGACAAGGAGGAAGCGGGGAGGGGAGGGGCCCATAGGAGGTGAGGGGGCCCGGGGCTCCACCTTGCTTCACTGGGGAGGTGCTGCTGTCCAAGGTGCTTATTCTCTGAGATCCCAGTTAGATTTCCATGTCATAGGGATGGGCGTGAAAGCTAGTTCCTCCCTCAGACCCTGCCCCTCGAAGAAGCTGTGTCTTGAATTCAGTATACGCAGAGATCAGGAAACTTCATCTCGTAGACAGGGATCGAGTGGTTCTGAGGCTGGCCATAGGCTGCAGTGATGGTTCCTGATGGGCTTGGAGGGGGCCTGGGGCAGAAACACAAGGAAGAGACATGAGGAAGGGGTCCAAGGGTCCCACCTTGTGCAACAGAGCAGCTGATTGAGGTTTCTCTTTGAATAGGGACCAGAGATTTTGTCAGTCCGTGGGTCCCAAGGTTTCAAGCTGTTCTAGAACCTTCAGCTTGAAGTCAAGCTTCATTGCTGGTTCTATAGTGACTGTTGCTTTAGAAAGTAAAAGTACTAGCTTGGGACACTAGGACCACTGGGTCTTTTCCAGGGTTCACTGAGCTGTCTTTTTCTCTGTTTCCTTATCTGGGGAGAACTGGTGGCCGAGCCCTAGAGACAGAGGCTGCAGGCAGGGAGGGCTAAAGACAGGTGTGAAAGGAGGAGTTGGGGGTGGGGTACCTACACTGGGCCACAGAGGTGGGGATACCCTGCCCAGGGCTGCCACTTACCGGATAGTGATTTCAAAGATCTGATTGAGTTTGCTCTGCAGCAGTGATGCCTAGAGATAGACAGAGAAGAAAGTGAACTAGGGGTTCCCCACACCTTGACTCCCAAGCCTACCGGTGCAGCATGCACTGGAGGTACGAGGCACCTACAATCTTAGGAAAGAAACTGCTGTGAGCTAAAAAAAAAAAAAGAAAAAAGAAAAAGGAACTGCTGTGAGCTTGTTTCCAGTGCTTCTCAGTGGACCCTCACAGTGAGTTCAGATCAGACAGAGGGGCCCAGCAGAGGCCTGCCGGGGACAGCACAGAGGCCAGGCACCCCAGAAAGGACTTCAGCAGCAGTTCTAGAAGGGCCCTTAGCTCCTCCAGGTGAGGCAACAGGGCCTGCTGGGCAGAGTCTGGAGGTTCGGAGCTGGTTCCAGCTCTTTCCTTAACTCCCAAGGAGCAGCTGTGCAAAGCTCGTGTGTTAGGGAAGACACTCTCTCTGGTCCCCTTTGGCTCCAACTAAGCCCATGGACACAAAGAGTGAGACTGCGCTCAACTCTGAGCTCACAAAATAAGCACCTCTCGAGATGGGACAAGAACTTAGTATAATATAGACCTAGGAAAATCTGTATTATACTTACTTCTATTTTTATATACCATAATGCATATTAATATAATTATTATATAAGAGGTTTGAATATATGTATATATATTAGAAATACATATATTAGAAAGTTACATGCATTTTTATGGAGAGGAAAATGTACAATAAAGTATATTATCTGTAGACTTCAGATATTTACAATTATGTTTCATTGTTACTAAGATGGACCCTGGGTCTAACAAATCCTGGTCTATCATTTTCAAGAAATGTTTGCACTCCTCCCTTACCCAGAGACTTCAGACTGTCTTTTTACTTGTCTGGTGCCCTCTCATTCAAATTTCTTTTCCAAGGCCAGGTTGTTCCAGTCTACCCACCAGTGTCCCCTAGTTGGAAGCAGCCCCATAGCTAATGCTGGCCATCTTTCCTGTATCACAGCCCCTCCTGTCATCACTCCATAATGTGAGAGTCCTAATGGCAACCTCACAGAGAAATAATGGAAGATGCTCTGGTGAACAGTGAGTGCTATTTATGTTCTTCCTCTGATGATTATTATTATAATCTGTTCAGTACAGGACATGCTGAGGTCAGGATTTCTCCCTTATATGAAAATTGTGACGTCTGGAGGGATATGACTAATAGGCTTTTGGTTCGTAGGGAATCAATGCAGTGTTGGGATTTAAATCCTAGCGTCTGGTGACAATGGTACCAAGATCTCCTAGAAGCTCAGTCCTGCTCTGGACACACATCCTGCGTCCAGTTGGTCCTGGGATGGGCCCCATCCCGCCTCACTTACCCGGGCCCCACAGTGCGCTGCGATCTCCTCAAAGGGCGCCTTCTGGAACTTCTCCACCACCTGTCGCCGCCGTTCCCGCTCTTGCTCCTCAACAGCCACACTGTCCACTGTGGCAGAGAGCCGGGTCAGCACGTGGGTCCTGCAGGCTGATGCAGCCCCAGATGGCCACCAGCTTTCCCCTCTGCCGACGAGGGGCAGGGTGGCACGGAGGGTGCAGTGCCATCACTTGGTCCTGGGAGGGCTAGACCCTTTCCTGATTCTGCCCGAGAGCTCAGCCCCTTTCCCTGAGAGTTTGAAAACTAGTTAAGTGGACCCTTAATCAGGGCTAAAGCTCCATGTAGCTGCACTTGCTACTGGGACTTTCTCTCTCTCTCTCTCTCTCTCTTTTTTTTTTGATTTGTCCTATTCAGAATTTTATTTCAAAATGATGATTCACTTCCCCACTCACATAAATGTATTGTACATTCCCACTCCTTTGAGACTTTAAATGAAATGTTTTCATCTTTATCAAGAGTTAACTGACATATAACATGGTATAATTTTAAAGCACCAGATGTTATGATTTGATACAGATATGTATTGTGAAATTATTACTACAATAATTATATAAATAATTATAACATATCTGCCACTGGGACTCTTAAACTAAGTTTCTGGAGCAGGGTACTATGGGGGTAACATGAAAAGGGACATTAACAATGGAAAAGACAATGAAAAACCCCTAAGGCAGAGCAGTCCGAGGCCATTTAGTTTAAGGCTTCTACATATTCCTCATGGCCTCCAAAATGAAAAAAAGATAGAGAGAGAGAAAGGTATGAAATATGTTCATCATGCCCAGCTTAAAAATACAGAGCAGTGAAACATTCAGAAAGAGTACCAAGAATGATGACAAAAATAAACATTTGTTATCAGCAGAAAAATTCTCTAATTTGGGATACTTTACTACCCAATAATTCAGATGAGGTAATAATACTGCATTTTAAAATCCACTGCCATTATTATGTATTAATAGGATTTGGTCTTAATAGCTTTCATTGATCAACTTGCTCTTTTGTATCATATGCCACCAAAAAAATTGTCAAAGTATTTATACAAATTAAAATTGCTTTTTTACTGTCTGATTGGCCATAACCCTCAACCAGATACTTTTAACGGCAACCGTTAGTAGAAAAAGGGTTCCTGGCATAGGACACTGACCCCTGTTAAGAGGGGGGACTTTTAATTGCAGCTTTGGTAGTTGTGAAGAGTTTAGAGGAAACTGCCAGGCTCTCCCCTGACATCTGTGTGAACCACGCTTGGGAGGGCAGCAGACAAGTCTCAAGCACAGCCACACACACCCCAGGACCCAGTCCCACCTGCCTCTCCTCAGGGGCCTCCCACTCACCAATGGCCTTCTTCAGCGTCTCGTAGGTGATCTCCTCGGCAGGCACTCGCTGTGGGAAAAGGGACAGAAGTGCACAGAATGCTCAGGAAGGTGGAGAAGGGGAGGGAGGAGGCGGCAGCCTCAGCTTCCTCAGTTACCTGGTAGCCCCTTCACTTCTCAGAAGACTGTCCCAATGGGCAGAAACTCCCTCAGGACACCCGCATTCTTGCTAGGGTCTCTGGAAGCTCTGTGCCTCTAAGCAGGCACAGACCCGCTAACTGAAGGGGAGCAGTGAGCGATGGAGGCTATTCCTCATGAGCCACCAGTCTCACCTGAAAGAACTCACTGTCCCTTCCCTCTCCTCTCCCTCCTCCAGAGGGTCCGCTTAAGTCCCCTGGGAAGAAAGCACTGTAATTCAAACAAGTTTTCAGAAAAATGTCACAGAAAATATTCAAAACAAGAGAAGGCAGTTAGCAAATATAATCTCCTATGAAAATTTCAAAAACTGACTAACATTTTTGTTCCCTTGTGGCTCAGCTGGTAAAGAATCATCTGCAATGCAGGAGGCCTGGGTTCAAGCCCTGGATTGGGAAGATTCCCTGGAGAAGGGAAAGGCTACCCACTCCAGTATTCTGGCCTGGAGAATTCCATGGACTGTCTAGTCCATGGGGTTGCAAATTCGGACATGACTGAGTGACTTTCACAACAACAACATATGTGTAGGATTCTCGGCGAGTCACTCAATTGCAACTGCAAAATATGTTATCATAGAGAACAATTGTTTTACTCTGAAGACTCATTCACTCTGAAGGTTTATTCTTTGTATGTACATTCATCCATCCGTTCACCCATCCATCCACTGTCAGTATTGACCAACATCAGGTGGAGACAGGGAACCAGGCGGTAGTGAGAGAATAAAGGAAGACAGATCACAGGCTAAGGGCAGGTAGAGAGCAGCTGATGGAGGAGGTGGGCCACAAGCTGGGCACTGAAGAAAGGGAGATTCATGAATGTGGAGGTGGAGAGGAAGGGTGATTGCAACATGGGATTCCATACTAGCAAAGACATGGAGATGAATGAGGTAGCATGGGGGAGACTGAATACAGACCAGCCAGCCAGGAGGGGAGACGAAATGGCCAGGCACCCCTGACTCCAAATGGCTCTGAATGCCAGGCACTGGGTTGGGAATTTGACCAAATCAGCATTTGTTGATCACCTGCTACGAGCCCGGTATTTGAGGGCTACAGGGAGTCACCGAGGGACTCTGGAGGAGTGGGGAAGGGGTATGGTGGGCTGGCTTGTAAACCTGGCTTGTGACCCACCTCCCCCATCAGCTTCTCTCTACCTGTTCTTACCCAGTGATCTGTCTTCCTTTACGCTCTCACTACCCCATGGTTCCCTATCACTTCACCTGTGAATATCTGATGTTGGTCAGTACTGAAAGCAGATGGATGGGTGGATGGATGGACAGACAAAGAATAAACCTTCAGAGTGAATGAGTCTTCAGAGTAAAAGTGTAAAAGGAAGTGGAAAAGCATGGCAGAGGGTGGAGGCCCCCACATCTCTGCTCTAGCTACTCAGACATACCTGGGCTGAGATGACTCTCAAAGAAGGGGAGGAACCCGTGTCAGTGACGGGGAGGCCAGCAGGGAGCAGGTGGCTGTGTACCCAGAGGAGTATTTCTCTTCCTTCTGCTGCTTTACTTTATTTATCCTTTTCTAAGGGTCTCTCGACTCTTGGGAAGGAAGAATTATAACTACAGAGGGGACAGCAGCCAACTACACTGTGGTCCTAACACGTGTGAGGCTTCCAGACCTGCAGAACCAGAAGGGCCTTGGAGGACACCTGGCTCAACCTCATTCCGCTTCTTCAATTAGCCCGAGTCAGAGCTTCCTTCCTTCCATGGGCTTCCAGACAAGCCTCGAAAAGCCCTGCCCTGGAGGTCTGCCCCAGTAACTGAGGAGTTGAAGGAATGGCTGAGGGCATGGTTGCGGGAGGCTTGATCTTGATACCATTGATTTGTTTTTGCCCCAAGCCCACTGGGGAGAGGCTGGGTGTCCAAGCTGCCCTCCATGGCTATGCCAGGCTGTTCTTGCTGAAGGACCCTGCACATCTTGTCCCAATTCCACCCAGATGTATGTCCTCCTTACTTCTTGCTAAGATCCCTCTCATCTCTATTAATTCCCTTAATTGGCAGTGAAGTGTGAAAGTCACTCAGTCGTGTCCAACTCTTTACCACCCCATGATTATACAGTCCATGGAATTCTCCAGACCAGAATACTGGAGTGGGTAAACTTTCCCTTCTCCAGGGGATCTTCCCAACTCAGGGATCGAACCCAGGTCTCCCGCATTGCAGGCGGATTCTTTACCAGCTGAGCCACAAGGGAAGCCCTTGACAGAGTCACCATTAAAAGCATCTGTACTGTGGGGAGGGGATAAATTGGGAGATTGGAATTGACATATACACACTACTATATACGAAATAGAAAATTAATAAGGACCTACTGTATAGCATGGGAACTATACTCAATACTCTGTAAAGGCCTATATGGGAAAACAATCCAAAAAAGAGTGGATATATGCATATGTACAACTGATTAACTTTGCCGTACAACGGAAACTAATACAATATTGTAAATCAACTACACCCCAACAAAAAAAACTATAAGAAAAACAAGAGTACTGTGTCCTGAAGCTTCTCCCCCGGGAGGCCTTTCTCCCTCCTCTCTGCCCTGCCCCCATTTCTTTCTCATTTGAGGGAATAAATTTGGTATTTCCACTAGGACTGCTTATTCTCTCTTACTTGTGGGTACATCTGCTTTATTTTATGAGGCAGAAGTAATAATGGCAGAAGAGATATCACATGTTAATTTAAACAGAAGAGATGATAGAAGAAATAGCGATCTTTAAGCCACATCGTTCTCTTTAAAAAGCACCTTTCTTGACATATATGGAAGAGACATCGTGAAAGCTATTTTTGCCTTCATCTTCTGCCTGAGGCCTTCCAATTTCCAACACAGATCAGGTTTACCTCCATTGTGAATGGGGAATGACAACCAGCAAACCTTTCAAGACTGATTTTTAGAACATCCTCATGGGAGTATATGGAGGTTCAATTACTTTTTCCAGATGGATGGAAATGTCTAGGATATATATGATGAGAGTCAGAAAGAAAACAGGGCTTACTTGAGAAATTTACCTTCCATGCATCCTTAAATGCATAGTGCAGTTAAGGGGGCTGGATCATGGAGTGTCTGACCACCTGATCAAGAAGGACACTCACCTCCTCCTTCTCTGGGCTGTTTCTCGATTCCACCTCCACCTGCAGGGAAATGGTCTCTCCAATGCTCTTCCTCTTGGATAAGCGATCCTCATCTGGGAAAAGAGAAGCCTGGAAGCTACAGTCCCCCCGGAGCTACAGTCCTCCAGGGAGAGGGAGCCAGAAGCATGCCTCCAGCACCATCTCCCATCTTCCCGTCCTCCCTCCCCCAACCCCTCCTGGCTTGGCTGGGTCCTCGGAGGGTTCAAAGGGATTTATACCCTGAGGGCTACAGCTGGAGTTTATAGAGGGCTGAGCGACTTCTCTGCCCCTCTTAGGCTGGTGAGTTTTGCTCTTTAGAGCTAAGATTTTGCAATCATTGATGAGCACAAAGAAGCTGCTTATGACTAGAAAGCATGGGCGTCGCCTGCTAACAGCTCCAGCCGCTGTCATTTGCATAGCATTTGCTCCTACAGGCATTCGCGTCTTCCCTCTAAGGCAGGTATTGTTAACGTTCCTATTTTACAGCCAAGGCAACTGAGACTCAGAGATGCCAAGGGACTCAGCTAAGAATTTTCAGGAGGGAAGCTGCAGAGAATTGGGTCTCTGACTCCGCAGTCCATGGGCGCTCTTTACAGCACAGTGGGGGCGTCTCCCACGCACAAGCCAGGCTATCTTGTGGGCCAGTTACTCCGAGGACCCTGCACGGAGGGGCAGAGGTGGGGACGCTGAGGATCTCACCACGGAGTCCCAGTGTGACATCCAAGTTGCCGTAGAAGGTGACGGAAGAGCTCACAGGTCCCTTCCATTCCTGCCCTTACCTGGCCAAGAAAAGCCAGAGGCAGGCTTGGAAGTGCTCGAGCAAGGCTCCTACCTGTCAGCTGAGGGATGTAGGGCACGCAGAGCCTGTCGGCATTGTAACCACTGCCACCCAGGACTTCACTGATCTTGCTCTGGCGGAAGAGCAGCTCAATCACCACTCCGTCAAGGTTGTGAGTCAGCCTGGGAGACAGAGAAGGGGGAGAGGCACGTGATAGCCCTGGGTAACAGGCCGACTTCCGGATGCCCTTCCTTATTATAAATGTAACACTCAAGGGAGTGCCCTGGTGGCCCAGTGGTTGGGATTCCAGGTTTTCACTGCCGTGGCCTGGGTTCAATCCCTGGTTGGGGAACTCAGATCCTGCAAGCTGTAGCAAGTAACACTTATTATACGAAATGAAAGACGAGTGAAAGGAAAAAAAAAAAAAACATCTGCAGTCCCACTTCCCAGAGAAAACCATATCCATATTTTGTGTAGGCTCCCTCAGTCATACACATTTATGCACACATGCAAACATTCCCCTACCCTCCACAGTCCTGTTCCAGGACCTATTTTATTCACCTAGTATGCACTGACTATTTCACATGAACTACTCTTCCAAAACATTGTGGGTGGGCTACCAGTTGTCTAATGGTATGGACAGGCCATAATTTATAAAGCCATCCTTTATTGTGGGATATTTTGTTTTTGCAGAATATCTTTTCCTTGAGTTCCCCTGATGTTGAAGTGACGCTGGCCCACAGACTACAGTCTTGAGAAGGCCGCTTGGATTGGTGGAGCGCCTTCTCCAGGATGTGCTCCCCTGGGCTTGGCCAAAGTATCTAGAGGCTCTATCCCATACTTGATCGTACAGCATGCTGAGACAGCTCAAGGCGGGGATCACAGTCATGTGAGGGGGATTAAACTTGACCCAGGACTTCTGCGTCACAGGCAGGGTCCTTTTTCTGCCTGTGAGCCCACAGAAGCCCGAGTCCCTGGCCTCAGGTCACCCACTTTCTTGCTCAGATGCCCTGGATGTTTTCTTGACCGTGTCCCCGCTGTGATCCTTACCTGGGCCTCTCCACAAACACATCCTCTGGAAGCATATATGGGGCCTCTTTCTTCCTGGTCTCTATCACCTGAGGTTTGGGAGGAATTGAGAGAGGAGCTGGGTTCAGTGGGGAGAGGGAGATGCAAACGGGCCAAGAAAAGAGCTCCCGCCCCAACAGAGTACTTCCTCTCTCCCACGCAGTCCCTGGCAGAGCCCCCAGAGCTGAGGGAGAAACTCAAACCACCCAGGACCTCGGGGCAGCTCAAGAAGCCCAGGAGGACTGCTCAGGCTGTCTGCAGTGACACACACGCACTGAATGTCCTCCATAGACAGGGCACTTTGCTCCCAGGAGAGTTCAGTGTCTTGCTCCCATGTCCTATTCCTGTTTTCTGTTTATGCGTGAGAGAGGAAGCACAGATCGCACTGTTCCCAAAACCCACAGGCACCCAGAGCATCCTGATGGAAAGCGACACAGTGAGTTTCCCTCATCATCCTTTGCAAATTTTTGACAAGAAATGTGACAGCTATTAAGATGGTGAGAAGTGGGAGGACAGTTGGCAACAAAGTACGTGCAGGAGGTGAGGAAGCCACGAGGCAACTATTTGTACTGAAGAGGATGTCAGCATTGCTTTTCCTGTCCTCCTGGATCAGCCCACGGCTGGCAAGGTCCTGCTTCGTTCAGGGTGGTCTTTGGCACACCAATAAGGCATTTTCCTCCATGCCCCCCAGCCGGTCAGGTTAGCCGAGACCTCGGCTTTCTTGTTTACTTTTGTGTGGCTGGTGTATTTTAAAGTTAATCCTACATATGATATCATTCTACCTATACATAGTTCAGTATGTTTTAAAATGTCTTTTTGCAATAACTGAGAACATTGGATTGTAGACTGGCTATAAGACAATACCAAGGCATAATCAGTCATTTAATTAATAATTTTATTATGTAAACAGCAGAGCAATTGAGCAGGAAGGTGTCCATATTTTTTTAGATATGAATACTGATGTATTTAGAGGTGAAACGATGTGATAATCAAGGTTTTTTTAAGCATATTTCAGCAAAGGAAAAGAAAAAGAAACAGATGAAGCAAATGTGGAAAAACCTTCCTAAGTGTTTAATCTGTGTGATAGCTGTGTGGATGTTCACTGCCCTACTCACACTGCTTTTGTGATATTTGAAAACTTTCACAACAAAAACATTTTTTAAAAGTAGTTTCAGTCCCAGATGACCTGAGAGGTGTGTACATGTGTGCTTCTAGGGGTGAGGGGGGCATAGAGGGGCAGGAAGTAGAGGGGGGCAGGTAGCAGGCTGGGAAGAGGTACAGGATACTGACTATGTCTGATTGCACCCTGCTATGTCATGCCCTGCAGCAGAAGATGCTCTGCTGGGGATTTCTCATCATTAATTCTCATGCCTAGACTAAGCACGGAGCTCATACAATTCAGCAAAAGGTTTTCTGGGGAAGCCCCAAGTCAAGGGCCTCCTGAGCTCTTGGGGTCATGAGGACACCAACCTCATGGATGTGCTGGCAGAAGGCAGGCACCGTCGTGAGTTGGCTGATAAGGTTCAGGTAAGCGGCGCCCAGTGCGTAGAGGGCACAGCGGTTGTAAACAGGCAGGTTCTCTTCATTGACCTGAGCCACATCCTGGGACAAGACAGAGGGAACAACCCACTGTCCAGAGGGTGCCCACTCTCCACCAACCTCTCCCAACCTCCCTTAGAGATGACCCACCACTCTAGACGAAGTCTCTCCCTGCATTTGTCCCATAACCTTCTGCGGGACAGAAGTCACTGAAGCAAACGGTCCCTAGAACAATCCATGAGTTGGATGCCCATAAATACTCAAGTGGAGAGGCGATAACCTCAGTGCCCCACTTTGCAGTTCCAGCTGTAGCAACCTTGATTGCCCAAACCCTCATGAATCCCCACTTCAAGGATGCTGTCTCCTTCACCACAGACCTTGGATAATTCTTGGAGGACTGGATTGGTTTGCTATGCTGGATTCACACGTTAAACTGACAAAGCTATGAAAGTTACTAGGGGCTGGGACACAGGAATCTCACATTCTAGAATGAAGACTCTTATAGCATCTGGGTTGGTCTTGCAGGATTTAGTACCATCAAGCAGGTAGCTAAAGAGTCTCTGTGACAGAATTCCCGGGTTCACCACCATTCAGAATATGATACCCACTTAGCTTCAGGACCCTGTGGACCCTGGCCTTTGAGGTCTTAAGAACCTACTTCAATTCTTAACATCCTGGGGAGTGTACTTTCACCCAGGCAGACCTTGGAAGTCTAAACCGTGTCTAGTGCCACACTGGCTGCCTGAGAGTCATGACGGGGGCTTGTTGAATCTCTAGGTCCCCGAGCTTGGGTACAGTACGGGGATTATATATTTTTAGCAAGTGCTTAAGGCAATTCTGAAAGCACAGCTAGTTTTGGGAACCAGGTGACGTTTACACAAACAAGTTTGTTTGGGAATCACTGCTTCCCTGGTAGCTCAGCTGGTAAAGAATCCACCGGCAATGCAGGAGACCCCAGTTCAATTCCTGGGTTGGGAAGATCCCCTGGAAAAGGGATAGGCTATCCACTCCAGTATTCTTGGACTTCCCTGGTGACTAAGATGGTAAAGAATCTGCCTGCAATGAGGGAGATCTGGGTTTGATCCCTGGGTTGGGAAGATCGCCTGGAGGAGAGCATGGCAACCCACTCCAGTATTCTTGCCTAGAGAATCTCCATGGACAGAGGAGCCTGGCGGGCCAGTCCACAGGGTCACAAAGAGTTGGACTAAGAGTTGGACTGAGCGACTAAGCACAGCACCAGGCTATGAGTACTCTCTTAGTAATCTATGAAGTCTCATTCAGACCTTGCAAGAGACCTGAAATACTACGGGTGAAGTGATGTTTTTGAAAGATCCTGTTCCCTGGGTCTCCTTTACTCTGAGGATGGGTCAAAGCCATGAATTCAGCATTCTTTGGTGGTTACCCCAGCAGGACCATGGTTTGTGGTCTTCAGAGGCATGGCCGATTAAGGGCACAACATACCTGGGCTCCAAAACACAGTAGTTAAAACAGTGGCCACTTGGCACTCTCATTAGTGCTCAAACAGGTCCCCTCCCCTGACCCTAACCTCTGTGTCCTGCCCGCACCAGGCCCCACCTGGACGGCCAGCACCAGGCGGATGAGGTCCACCACCACCTCCTCATTGGCCAGCTCGATGCTGATGAGTGCCAGCAGGCCATAGAGCGCCTCGTAGTGCTTCTGTAGGTTCGTTTCCTCCTTACAGCTCAGGTAGATGTGTCTGTAGAGCTGCTGGGAGTGCTGGAGAAGTGGGTGAGGGTGGGGGCAAGGCCACGGTGGATGGGGACAGGAGGGGTCAAGGGCATGGAAGAGCAGTCTGAAGGGGGTGACGCAGCTCCACCTCCTTCCTCCTGTACCCCCCCTCCGTCCTCAGGGACAGGATACCTTTACAGTAGACCCCAGTAGAATGGAGTACACGCAGGAATATGTGCTTAGGGAAGGTGGGGCCAGTGAAACCAGCAACAAAAGCTGCCGCCCAAACACAGGGGAAGATGGTCAAGCGATGGTCTTCCTCTGGCCTGGGATGAGTATGAACTGGGGGCTTGATTCCCTAGAGGGGTCGGCTGGTCATTCTGACTAATCATAGTCAGAGAGGAGGAAGCGGGCTCTGTAGGCATGGCCAGTGGTGATGGCCACTGGGGGCTCAAGGCTGGGGTCCACAGGGCCTGACCCACCCAGGTTTCAATGTGTCTTGAGGACACGCTTGCTTACCTTCTTCATGAAGATGGTGTCCTGCCGGGAGCACTTGTCCACTTTCAGCTTCAGAATAGAGATGTCACTGAGGGTGCTGTGGGGGGACAAGAGGGGTCACCTGAGACCTGGGGTGAGGCCAGCAGGGCTCATGTGGTATCACTGGGCTCTGCCCCAGTCCTTAGCTGTACTAATGTCTCCCTGTGTCTTCCCACCCAGGTTCTTAGCCTGATTGCCACTTTCTCTCAAGTTCTCAAGCTCCTGTCTCATTTTTTTTTTAAAACTGATCCAGATTACCTTCTCCCTCACTTTCTTTCCTCCCTTTCAGCCCCCAGGCTACTGATAACCCTGCATCCTCTTCTTCCCTTCCTACCAAAGAGCTCCAGTGAGTACCTGCTCTTTATCTCCCAAATCTCCACTCCCTCCTTCGCTCTCTTAGACACAAGCACCCTTTCAGTCTCCTTCCCTTGCAAGAATCCTGGGTTCACGTCCATGGTCAACTCCTTGGTGAGGGGTCCCCACTGAAGATCTGCACTGTCCTCCCACCTGAGGGTGAGACCCTAATGGGAGCCTTCTCCCCCATCACATAACAAATTGCTGCAGGGGGGGAGACCCCAAGTTCACCTGATGGTAGAGAACTTGTGACGGTTGCCATGACGATCAATGAAACTGATGAGAATCTCTAGAACGAAGAGACGGATCTCTGCGTCCTCCATGAGGGCGGTGGAGAGAAGGCGGTCAAGGAAGTTGCTGGGCAAAGCTGACATCATGTTGTTGCTCTGGAAGCCAGTGGATACCTGCAAGGGAGCCCGGGATTGCATGCCTAGGAATACTGGTCCTCCTGGCAGCAGGGAGGAGATGGAGAAACAGCCAGCAGAAGCTGGGTCCCAGGCACCCATCATCTCTAAACATCCCCCAGTCCAGTTCCCCCTGTCCTTCACCTTAGGCAGCTTTGGGGAACCCTCCATCATCTACTGAGGCAACCTGCCAGCTCACTTCAGCTGAGCAGATGGGGACAGTATCCAGGGACATTAAACTGCTAAAAGCAAGCAGAGGATGAGCATTGGAGGGGAGCAAGGAGCCAGAGAGTATCTGAATCTAAAGTTCCAACCCATTAAGGCACACACAGTGAATGTTCACCATGAACACACTTCATCAGGAGCATGAACAGCCACAAAGAAAAGGAGAGATAGCGGAAGAACTTACAGCTGGGTTGGCGAATTAGAACCCACAGACATAGTCACAGTCAGAGAACACACATAGAGTTTGTTTACACCTCTTCTAGCTAGGCCATGATGGTGGTCTTTGGATTAAAGCCTGCTGGCATACTGAGACATCTCATCCGCGATGTTGTCAAAAAACAGCCAAACAGATTTACTGTTAAGTCCATATTGCAAAACAATGCCTGCGATGATTCAGCAGGCCCTTGAGGCTCTGGTAAAGCCTAGTGGCATCAGTGTTCACTGAAGGGGGATGTATTTAAGGTGTGTCCCCAACCATCACCTTGGTAAGATGCTGGGTACAAAATTAACGAGGGTAAACTCAGCAAAGAAATGGCAAGAATACATAGACCAAGGAGGTAGCCAGATGTGGGTATCAGTAGAAAAAGCCTTTCTAATAAGGGGTGACATGAAAGGTGTGGGCTGGGAAGTGGGGACGGAAGGCCTGATCAGGAGCAAGGGGGCTGTGCCGACTAGCATGGTTAACACAAAGACAGGTTGAGGGATGATATGGAGGTTCTAGGGAGGGAATGGGTACTGAGGGCCTTCCAAGTTCAGTCTGAGAAGTTCGATGTCTGGATGTACATCAATTGAAAACTGAGATCCACTCTTTAACAAGGAGCAATCCATGAGGAACAACATTTCTAGAAAATTCTTCTTGGTTGTATTTAAGATAGGTAAGGAGGGAGGGAGTAACCAAGAGAGTAATCTAGTTGTGAAATGTCCAGAGTTTAGGCCAGGGCTGTGCACAAAAATACCTGCGGCGCTTGTTACAAATACACATTCTAGGACCTCACTCAAACTGATGGTTCAAAGTCTCTAGGGAATCTATATATTAAACAAGCTGGTCATGGGAATGGCATTTGAGAACAATAAATCTAGGCTCCAGTGATGGCTGCAAAGATGGAAGGAAGACAAATGCAAAAATATTGCTAAATGGAGGGTGGGGGCGGAGATTCCCTGGTGGTCCAGTGGTTAGTTAGCACTTGGCACTTGGCACTTTCACTTTTGGGTCCCAGATTCAATCTCTGGTCAGGGAACTAAAGTCTTGCAAGCCATAATTGCATGGCCAAAAAACTTTTAAAGATAATTTTAAAATTAAATTACCTAAAATAATTATAGTTATTATTTTTAAAAAACTGATAAAGGTAAAGATGGTGACTGGGAGACTGAGGTGTGCATAAATGCCAAAGGAGAAACAGGTGGAGGGCACCTGGTGAGATACCTGGAAGGAGAAAGAGCAGGAACCAGTAGATTCCGTCTCAATACAGAGATAAGGTTTGAGTGACAAGACCATCAGTATCTGAGAAGGTACCTTTGTGAAAGTTAGAAACAGGTGTCCTGCCTGCTCTGGATAACCTAGCCTTGTGGGTGCCCATCCTGCCTAGTGAGTGGAACACAGGTTAGATTTCAGTCCCCTACTCACCCCTCTGGCTGGATATGTTTGTGCAGTGTGCAACCTGTACAACAGAAAGTGGCAGCCTTCTCTTGGTCCCTTGGAAGGAGCTGCCTCCTGCGGAGGCAGAGCAGGAATGGGGACAGGAGAGGCTTACCTGAAGGAGGGATTTCAGAAGCATAATCTGGGTCAGTCGGTTCCTGTTCTCCCTATAGAGCAGAGATACAGATGATCACCAGGATGGTGGTACAGATACAGAAGACCCCACACTTGTGTGCCCAGTGCTCTCTTGTGATTAGATTCTCCACGAGGCTAAACCTGTTGGGTTACCCAGGATAGTGACTTCCAGAGGAATGACGCTGACCAGCTGGTGGTAAAGAACCCGCCTGCCAGTGCAGGACACATAAAGAGATGCAGGTTCAATCCCTGGGTCGGGAAGATCCCCTGGAGAAGGGCAGAGCAACCCACTCCAGTATTCTTGCCTGGAGAATCTCCATGGACAGAGAAGCCTGGTGGGCTACAGTGCATGGGGTCACAGAGAGTAGCACACGACTGAAGCGACTTAGCACACACACCCCTCGAGGTGGGAGATTGTTACTGATGGGACAGTCAGTGGAGTTACGTAGGATCCAAAGGCCCATGAAAGGCTGTGGAGGGATTTGAGAGCAGAATGAGAGAAGATATGTGACAGCAGAACCAGGGAAGTTGAGGTGGAGAAGGAAGTCAGCCCAGAAACATGGGAAGGGGAGTTGGCGGAATCCAAGAAGGGAGAAGAAAGTAGGGTAGACTCACCCAGTCCTCCCTGTCTCCATGGGATGGTGCAGGGAAGGCAGCGGAACCTTGCTCATGATGAAGAGGATCACCTCGGAGCGCTGGTAAGTAGGCAATGTGCTGGCAAAGGAGCCTGCGGGGAAAAGACAGAGGAGAGGGTTGGCTCTTGTAAGGCTGGCAGCTGCGGGGGCGGGGGGGGGGGGTCCCTGCTCAGCCTTTCAGCCAAACAAACTGCTGTGAGGAGTGCCAGCTGACTCTTCCAGGCTCCCATCCCTTGACCTGTTATTCCCGTGGCTATGGTAAAGGTCTGTGGGACCTAGAGGGGACGCTCCAGTGGCATTGGAACAGGAAGACTCTGAGCCCTTACAATCATTTGTGGACTTCAGAGTTCTCCCCTTCGATATCCATGTGCATACCCACAGTTTTCTCCCTGTTCTCTTTCCTTCCTTTTGTCTTTCTTTCTCTCACCTCCCCTCCAATACTTTGGCCACCTGATGAGAAGAGCTGACTCATTTGAAAAGACCCTAATGCTAGGAAAGATTGAGGGCAGGAGAGAAGGGGACGACAGAAGATGAGATGGTTGGATGGTATCACTGACTCAATGGACATGAGTTTGGGTAAACTCCGGGAGTTGGTGATGGACAGGGAGGCCTGGCGTGCTGCAGTTCATGGGGTCACAAAGAGTCGGACATGACTGAGTGACTGAACTGAACTGAACTGAACCTGTCCAATCGCTCAGACATGGGAGGATCAGGCAGGCCTAATGGGGACTAGGGTGCAAGAGTTCACCTCTGTTAGCCTCTGATCTGAACTCCAGGCTGAGAAACCCAGGGAGATTGTTCTGTGATCTAACTCAGGCCTGGCCCCAGGGATGCTGTGAGCTGTGTGCACTGTGTGCTGACTCCACTTCCTCCAGTGTCCGTGCATTAACACGAAGTGCGAGGGTGCGTGCTTAGTCTATCAGCCGTGTCCGACTCTTTTCGACCCCATGGACGGCAGCCCGCCAGGCTCCTCTGTCCATGGGGATTCTGCAGGCAAGAATACAGGCAAGAATACTGAGTGGGCTGCCATGACCTTCTCCAGGGGATCTTCCCCAGCCCAGGGATCGAACCCAGGTCTCCTGCATTGTAGGCGGATTCTTTACCAGCTGAGCTACCAGGGAAGCCCTAACGCGGTGAGTGGATGACAAACCTACAAGGCCAGGGACTAACATCCTTGGGGGAATGGGGACCGCCCATCTGCCCCTTCTTCAGCAGGTCTAGCCCGGTCAACTCCCCCCGCCACTCCCAGGCCCCGCCCCTCCCGGGGCTCACCTATGGTCTTGATGACTGCCTCCTGGAACATGCGCTCTTCGTGTTCCTTGATGATCTTGGTGCCGAGGCTGATGGCCCCGTCGTAGCTCCCAGTGAGAGCGTAGTCGATGCTGAGCCGCAGCTGCCTCAGCAGAGTGTTGAACATCTCCAGCACCGTGGGCCCTGAGCGTAGCGGGGTGGGAGACCTGACAGCTGGGGCTGACACTCCTGGCTCATTGTCCCCTGCCCAGGCCCACTTCCAGCCAGGGGCTTCCTCTGACCCCCCACCTTCCCCGGCTGAGTTCTCCTCCTGGATAACTGCTCTGACCCCTCCCTACCCTTGCCCTTTTCTGGAAGGAGGGACAGCCCACTGCTAAGGGCAGTTCTTCATCCTTGAGGGGGTTCCCAGCCCCCGTTCCGCTCAAGATGCCCCCTTACCCACAGAGCCGGTGGCGGCGATGACGGCAGCTTCCGACAGGACCTCCACGATGCCCGCCCGCACCGTGGCCGCGCTGCGGCTGTTGGCATCCAGGTGGCCCAGGAGCTGCTGGATAACCAGGTGGGAGTGCTGCGGCTGGGGGGGAGGAAGACGTGCTGGTCCCCAAACAGCACCCCCACGTGGCCTCTGAGCCAGGGCAGCCCTCCAGGAGGACCCAAAGTTGCGTGGACGGAAAGTGAGGTCCCAAAGCTAGCGGGCACTAGACGGGGCGCCCAAATACCCTGGCTCCTCTTCCTAAGTCTCTCCCCCCTCCGTGGTCCAAGGAGGAGCTGAGTCAAATCCCAATGAAGACTTGGATCTCCACCTATTTCCTGGGCCCTTCCACTTCAAGTGGGTCAAAAGTCAGTTTAAAAATACTGTCTTCCTTTTCATTTCCCCCAGGTCCCAGGTCTTAAAGTAAGGGCCACAAGCGGTCACATGGTTTAATCCAGTGCTGCTCAAAGTGTGGCTGATGGTCTGGTGCCAATTCAAGATCTGTCTGATGCCCATTTACATTGAGCTAAGGACAGAAATTGAGAGTAAGTGTTGAGTAAGCAATCTGACAAAGCCATGGAAGCCAGTTACGGTCTGTGGGTTTATATTTTGCATGAGGTTTTTCACTTACTTTTTCAAGGAATTCTTTTTGTGTTTTATAAAGCATAAGTCTCTGACATATTAGAAATAAAATGTTTTAAACCAGTCCTTCTCCACGACTAGGCCAAGCAGCACCAGTTCAGATGACTAGGGGCTGGTTTTCTCCAGGTGTGCACCATCCCGCTCCCAGGGGTACCCTTGACCAAGGGGACAAGCTGAACCTGGAGAACCATCATACCTGAATTGAGTACATGATGATTTTAAAGCAACGGATGGCGAACACCTTGGGTTCCCAAAGAGAATGGTTATCCAGATGGCTGTGAGGGAAAAAACGTGGAGAGTAACTATGAAATGCAGGTGATGCGAAGAAGGAGGAGAAGTCTTGGTGGGAACATAACCTGTCCTGAGAGACCCAGTCCCTCTTGAAGCTTCCAGGTAAGTAGCAAGGGCTTTCAGGTGCAGGTGAGAGAACCATGAGAAGTCAAGAAACAGGGTCTGTGGCTGTGGACTTAGGAATGAAGCCGAGTGCCTTCCTTTAGCCTTGGGACTCCTGCCAACTCCTCTCCCCAAAACTGATTGGCCACTACGTGGTAGCTTTTGATGCCACAATGCAGAAGAATGTGGGCACAGAGAAGGGACCAACTTGGCCGCAGCCCCTCAACTGTGACACCTGCTTCCTTCCTCCCGAGTCAGCAAGGAGGTGCTGGACCTGAAACAGTTCAAAGCTGGAGGCCGGTGGGCAGGGAAGGGGAACACTCACATGAGAACAGGCTTGATGGCGTTTTTGATGTTGCCAAAGGCAGCCCGGCCCAGCAGTTCCCGAAGGCACCTCTCAGCTAGCTCTGCCGGGTTCTCTTTCTCCTTCTCTGGTGCTTGGAGAGGGGAGGGGGACCGGCTGCGGAAACACACAGCCCGTGGGTGAAGAAGGATGGAATGCACAGTCTGAGAGTCAGCTTTGTGCAGGCTTTCTGTGCTTCCCTCATGCAAATGGACCCAGGAGGACAAGCAGGAACTTGATGTAGGCTGTGCCAGGTCACAGGGAGAGGACAAAGCTCTCAGAAGTTGAATGGGGTAAGGAAGCCCAGAGTGGAGAAAGATGGTGGGAGGAGGGATAAAGTTCTTTTTCTGGATACCCTAGGGATAGACCTGATGGGTCTCTGTGGGAAGGAAGGTGCCCTGAGCACCATGGACCTGGGGAGGTGCAGACCATAGGTATCTCCATGTCTCCAAGGCTTTGGAAGGGACAAGAGATGAGATAAGAGAGGGATGCAAGCAGAGTTGAAGAAAGCAAAAGAAAAGGGGAGAGAGGAGGGAGGGCAAAAAGCAGGAGGGAAAAAAAGAAAGGCTCAGGAGGGAAAAATGGGTGCTGGCTTGGGTGTGACTCAGTGGTACCCGAGTCACAGGGAGTGGGCTCAGATCTGGACAGGAGTCCCAGGATTCCTCATCCTTAGACCACCTGAGACCACCAAGGAGCTTGTCAGAGATAATGCTATTCCAGGAACAACCACCAGAGGGCATACTAAATTTCCCAACCAGCTCTAGTAACACAGTATCAACGGAAAGGAAGTGGGGAACTCAGATCTTCACTTGGTGTCACGCACAGCGGAGGTGGACAGCACCAGGAACCTATCTCTCCATCCCATTTCACAGAGGGAAAGAGCAAGTGGCATGAACAGGATGAATTCATGTCTGGGGGTTCCCAGATTAAAATCTAATATCTGGAGCTCATGTCAAATGGCTGCTGGCTGGTGGGCATTTTTTAAGGACCTGAAATATCATTAGGAAGTGAGGGAGAAGAAGGGCCCTCTTCAGAAAATTGAACCATGTTGTTCAGTTGCTAAATCAAGTCCGATTCTTTGCAACCCCATCAACTGCACCAGGCTCCTCTGTCCTTCATTATCTCCTGAAGTTTGCTCAAACTCTTGTCCATTGAGTCAGTGATGCCATCCAACCATCTCATCCTCTGCCACCTGCTTTTCCTCTTGCCCTAACTCCCAGCATTGGGTTCTTTTGGCATTTAAAAACCTCCTTGTCCTGCTGCTTCTTGAAAGACCGAGGAAACCCGACTCTTGGTTTTTTGTGTTCAGCACACACTCACCCCAGGGAGCCCAGCACCATCACTGCTTTTCCTTCAGGAATTCAGACCTTAGGGGGTACAGAGGGCTGGCAGAAGGACAGAGCCAACGTTCCCAAGGAACCAGCTTTGGGTGTGCTGTGGAACAAGCCACAGACGCCAAGATCCCTGGCCTTGGAGCTAGGTTTTACCAACCAGCCCCAGCTGTCTGGTTGCCGAGCACCCTGGGAGGGCTGCAGAGTGGCCGTGCAAGCCGCTCCCTCGCCTGCTCACCTCTCTGCCTCCTCCACGTGTTGCAGATTGAAAAGCAGTGATGGCACGATCTTGTCCATATGCTGTGGGTCCCAGATATTGGCCTGCAGTTCGTCATTCACCGTCTTCCTCACCACCCCTTGTAGACCTTTGATGCCTGACATTCGGATTCTGTAAAGAAAAAGGGGACAGGGGCCATGATGTTTGCAAACCTTGGCAAGTCCAGCTTCTGTGACAAGGAGGGGAGCACAGCGAGGGGTTTACAGATGCCCATAAAGGCAGAGGGGAGCCCACCTTCCACTCTTCGTGTGACTGGGCCTCCTGGCTGGCTGCCTGAAAGCCATGTCTTCCAGCTTGTCTTGGAGATTCCTTGACTGCCCTTGCCCTGTACCACCCAGGTTTCATCCCTAAGGTGCCAGTTTTCTCCAGGCTTCTTAAGTACCCAGCTGGGTTTTCTCCAGCTTGAGACTAAGATATAAGGGCCCAAAGGGTTGCCAAGAATTGACAAGGCAGAAACTAGGGTTGAGGGCAACTTACAGGGGGAAGAGATCTGGAGGGGGAGGCACAGAGCTGTCAGGCTCTCGGGCACAAGGGGGTCTTGGCTGGGACTAAACTGGCTGAGAAATCAGAGGACACATGAATAACAGCACAGAGTGAACCCCTTTTGCACAGGTCCATTCTCTGATGAAAGTGAAAGTCACTCAGTCGAGACCCACTCTTTGCCACCCCATGGAATTCTCCAGGCTAGAATACTGAAGTAAGTTAGCCTTTCCCTTCTTCAGGGGATCTTCCCAACCCAGGGATCGAACTCGGGTCTCCATTGCAGGCGAATTCCTTGCCAGCTGAGCCACAAGGGAAGCAATGGAGTAGCCCTCATGGTCAACAAAAGAGTCCGAGATGCAGTGCTTGGATGCAACCTCAAAAATGACAGAATGATCTCGGTTCGTTTCCAGGGCAAACCATTCAATATCACAGTAATCCAAGTCTATGCCCGACCAGTAATGCTGAAGAAGCTGAAGTTGAATGGTTCTATGAAGACCTACAAGACTAGAACTAACACAAAAAAAGATGTCCTTTTCATTATAGGGGACTGGAATGCAAAAGTAGGAAATCAAGAGATACCTGGAGTCATAGGCAAATTTGGCCTTGGAGTACAAAATGAAGCAGGGCAGTATTAAGAAGAAGTGGCAATAATACACAGAAGAACTATACAAAAAAGATATTCATGACCCAGATAACCACACAGGTGTGATCACCCACCTAGAGCCAGACATCCTGGAATGTGAAGTCAAGTGGGCCTTAGGAAACATCACTACGAACAAAGATAGTGGAGGTGATGGAATTTCAGTTGAGCTATTTCAAATCCTAAAAGATGATGCTGTGAAAGTGCTGCACTCAACATGCAGCAAATTTGGAAAACAGCAGTGGCCACAGGACTGGAAAAGGTCTGTTTTCATTCCAATTCCAAAGAAGGGTAATGTCAAAAAATGTTCAAACTACCACACAATTGCACTCATATCACACTAGCAAAGTAATGCCCAAAATTCTCCCAAGCTAGGCTTCAACAATACGTGAACCGTGAACTTCCAGGTGTTCAAGCTGGATTTAGAAAAGGCAGAGGAACCAGAGATCAAACTGCCAACATCCGCTGGATCATCAAAAAAGCAAGAGAGTTCCAGAAAAACATCTACTTCTGCTTTATTGACTATGCCAAAGCCTTTGACTGTGTGGATCACAACAAATGGTGGAAAATTCTGAAAGAGATGGGAATACCAGACCACCTTACCTGCCTCCTGAGAAATCTGTATGCAGGTCAAGAAACAACAGTTAGAACCGGACATGGAACAATGGACTGGTTCCAAATTGGGAAAGGAGTACATCGAGGCTGTATGTTGCCACCCTGCTTATTTAACTTATATTCAGGGTATATCATGCGAAATGCTGGACTGGATGAAGCACTAGCTGGATCAAGATTGTTGGGAGAAATATCAATAACCTCAGATATGCAGATGACACTACCCTTATGGCAGAAAGCAAAAAAGAACTAAAGAGCCCCTTGATGAAAGTGAAAGAGAAGAGTGAAAAAGTTGGCTTAAAACTCAACATTCAGAAGACTAAGATTATGGTTTCCAGTCCCATCCCTTCATGGCAAATAGATGAGGAAACAATGGAAACAGTGAGAGACTATTTTTTGGGCTCCAAAGTCACTGCAGATGGTGACTGAAGTCATGGAATTAAAAGACACTTGCTCCTTGGAAGAAAAGCTATGACCAACCTAGACAACATATTAAAAAGCAGAGACATTACTTTGCTGACAAAGGCCCATCTACTCAAAGCTATGGTTTTCCCAGTAGTCATGTATGTGAGAGTTGAACTATAAAGAAAGCCGAGAGCTGAAGAATTGATGCTTTTGAATTGTGGTGTTGGAGGAGACTCTTGAAAGTCCCTTGGACTGCAAGGAGCTCAAACTGGTCAATCCTAAAGGATATCAGTCCTCAATATTCACTGGAAGGACTGATGCTAAAGCTGAAACTCCAATACTTCGGTCACCTGATGTGAAGAACTGACTCACTGGAAAAGACCCTGATGCTGGGAAAGATTGAAGGCAGGAGGAGAAGGGGATGACAGAGGATAGATGGTTGGATGGCATCACTGACTCAGTGGACATGGACATGAGTTTGAGCAAGTTCCGGGAGGTGGTGATGAACAGGGAAGCCTGGTGTGCTGCAGTCCATGGGGTGGCAAAGAGTTGGACACGACTGAGTGACTGAACTGCACTGAACTGAGTATCCACTGTGCTGACCCAGGTGACACGACAGCCCTGCGGGGGGCGGGGGGCCTCTTTCCTGGCTGTTTATTTCATCCTGAGGTTCCTTTTCTTAACCAAACCTTTTTCTGATGATAACATAAAACATGCTAATTATAGAAAAGTGCAAAGATATTTATCCCCTGCCATCACCACTTAAAGATAATTATCATTGGCATTTTGGTGTCCTGCTTTTCTTCTGTGTATAATAGCTAACAGAATAAAGAACTTGCTGCATATCTAATTTGTATTGGTTTTTTTCACCCATAGCATTCTATTACAAGCATTTTCCTATATCATTAACTCACAAACACGTTGAATGGTTACTTGATACACTGTTATAAGAACTTTCTAAACTAGTCTCCTATTGGTCATTGGCTGTTTCTAAATTTGCTTCTGTAATAATGCTACAGTGGACATCCTTTTATAAAATGCTTTGTTGTTGTTGAGTTGCACAGTTGGAGTTGCTAAGCCAAGTCCGACTTTACTACATTCCAAATCATTGCCGTGAATGGAATTACTGAATCAAATGATAAGAAATAAAAGGCTCCCAATTTTGCCAGATTCCTCCCCCACCCCCATCACACAAGCTGTAGGAGATGGCTGTCCTCTCTGTTTCTGCCTCAGCACTGGGGATCTCATTTTAAACAACTGCTCTAATTTTGTAGCTCAGAAAAATCCTCACATCTTGTAGCCATTTCAACTCCTATACCCCTTATTGGAGTTGAGCAGTTTTTCTGAACATTTAGTTGCAATTTGTAACTTCAACTTCAGTTTTAAGTGCTGTTGCCAAGGTTCAATCCCTGGGTCCGGAAGATCCCCTGGAGAAGGGAATGGCTACCCACTCCAGTATTCTTGCCTGGAGAATCCCACAGACAGAGGAGCCTGGAGAGCTACAGTCCATGGGGTTGCAAAGAGTCGGACACAGCTGAGAGGCTGAGCGCATGCGCACCAGGGTGCTAGGCTGAGCTTTTAACCCAGAGAACATAAATGGGTAGTGGGGTTTGCCTAATGCACCAAGATGCCCTGGCCCAGGACCAGTGAGACTGCTGGCAATGGACACAGATTCCCTGGGCAAACAGCTACTCCCATCCTGACCCCCAGTCAGCACCCTGAGCCGAGGCTTTTCAGATTGGAGAAAAAATTAACTGGAATACAGTTCTGTTAACTATTGTTGGCTTCAGGTGAAAGGTTCTCCGTCGTGCAGTCCAGAAATAAATCCCAGACATACTGGACTCCTGTCCCACCCAAGAGAGTCTGGCTGGAAGGGAAACCAGGCCCGGGGGGTGGAAAATTTCCTATTCAGGGTTTCGCTCTTCATGACTATGAATTAATTTTTATTCACTCTTTCAATTTCCCTAGAATCCCTTCCACATATGAACACATTTCATTCCATGACACCCAGCGCTGACTGGGCCTGAAGAAGCAGCTTCTTACTGCTCCTTGTAATGGGCTCAGTGGAGGTCTGCCTGCATGCAGGGGGCCTAGAGAGTGTGAACCCAAGGGATTTACACACACACACACACCCCACACCCCTATTTACAAGACCCAAGGAAGTTCTTAGAAGGGAGCTCTGGGCTCTGCAAAGGCTGTGAAGGACCAGGGGAGAGCTCCTGGAGAAAAGATGCAGGGAGGTTATGGATGGGAGACAAGAGGAAGGGAGAATCGCTTCTCATCCCTCAGCCTCCCTTCCATGGGTGGCAGGTGCCAGGCTGTGGGTGCTGAGGGCACTACCCAGCTGTCAGGAGCAAACCTCAGCACCCTTCTCCCAATATTCATTCGCTGTCCATGTCAGGACATGGTGTGACTGCGCGGGCTCCCCTCCTACTGTGGATTGTGTATATGTGCACGGTTGTAGGTGCATGGGTGTGTGATTGCGTGTGGGTTTCCCTGGTGGCTCAGACAGTAAAGAATCTGCCTGCCATGCAGGAGACCCAGGTTCAGTCCCTGGGTCGGGAAGATCCCCCGGAGATGGGCATGGAAACCCACCTCAGTATTCTTGCCTGGAGAATTCCATGGACAGAGGAGCCTGGAGAGCTACAGTCCATGGGGTTGCAAAGAGTCCTACACGACTGGGTGACTAACACAACGTGACACGTGGGTTTGTGTAGTGAACGTAACTGTGTGTGTGTGGATGTCATTGTATGTATGTGTGTGGTTGTGTATGCAATTGTGTATTGTGTGATGGTATGCATGTGTGTGATGGTGTATGTGTGTGAGTGCGTGTAAAGCGGCACGAGAAGTGTCCCCTCCCCTCCCTTCCCCAAAGCAGGGCTCTGCCTGGGTGATTAGCATCCCTTACAGTCACACCTGGTTACCGCCCTGCCTCTTCCTCATCACCTGCTTCTGGACACACCCCACCTGCTCCATCCCCTTGTGCCTCTTCACAGCCACCTGGAGTGAGCTGGCTGCTGCGGGAATCAGCACTGGGGAGACAGGGGGCTCCTCCCTCCCCATGACCCCCACTGGCCTCACAGAGGCACTGCAGCAGCACAGCCCCAGGGAGCCCCTTGCTGGTTCCAGAGAGGGGAGACTGGGGAGCCGGGGTATTGCCGGCCAGTCACACGGGTCCTGCCCCAGAGCAGTCCTGAGGCTCAGAAGCTTTGGGAACTGGCAGCCTGGGGGATGGAGGGGTTTGCATCCTGGGGTTCCTCCAACCCAGACGATCAGCCATGGTTTGCAAGCAGTCGTTAAGGGCACACGGGGCTCCCTGACCCTGCCATCACACATCACGTGGCACTCCCGAGTCCCTTGGGGTGCTGACGTGATGCAGGAAGGAGCCAGCAGCTGAGTTCCGGAAAAAAGCCATGGAGAACTGGTCTGCGGGCGTGCTGGCCACCCAGCCTCAGCCTCCCAGCCCCTGCCTCCTCCGGCTCCTGAAGCTTTGTCAGGTGAATGGCTCAGCCCTTCTCCTTCCTCCCTCCTCCTTTTCCTTGGTTTCCCATCACCTCCCAGAGTTGATAACGTACTCTTCATAGGCAGGGGTTTACTTTTCATCCTTTGCACCTTTCAGCTCCAAGGACGATGCTTAGCACAAAACACCAATGTACTGCTTCATCGGCCTGATGCTGTGTCGTGATTTGTCTATCTGTGTCAGCCTATATTTGTGTGAATTTCTCTGTGATGTTATTTGAGGGGTTTAATTTCTATGTCAACGAGTCTATTTCTGTGAGTGAAGTATTTTTGTATGAGTGTGTGTGCATGTGTGTGTGTAAAAGTGTGCTCTGTCATTTAAGATGTTCATCTGGGAAGCACTTATTCCTTCACTCACTTACTCAACAAGTATTTCTTGAGTGCCTGCTGCTCTCCAGGCACTTGGCATGCTTCAGTGAATGAAACTGATTCCTGCCCTCACAGAGCTGACATTGTAGTGGGCAGAGATAGACAATGAATGAGAGACATATGCAAATGATGAAACATGTTTGAAGGGGAAATAAAAATAGAGCAGCATGAGGGAGATAGGGATGGAGCACGTGGGAATTTTCAGGGGAAGGCGTTGTTGACAAGGGGATATTTGAGCAAGGCCTGGAAGAGGTGAAGGAGTGAGCTGTACAGATCCACACAAGAAGCATTTCAGGCAGAAGAACAGACAGTGCAAAGGCCCTGTGGCAGGAATGTCCCTGGTGTGTTTCCAGGCAGCAGGGAAGCCTGTGTGGCTGACGGGGAATGCGCAGTGGGAGAGGGGATGAGATGAAGTCAGGAGGGCAGCAGGGATGGACCAATGCGAGGATTTTGGCTTTTTATTTTTGGGTGTACATTTGTGGGCTTCCCTGCTGGCTCAGACAGTAAAGAATCCGCCTGCATTGCAGGAGACCCAGGTTCAGTCCCTGGGTCAGGAAGATCCCCTGGAGAAAGGAATGGCAATCCACTCCAGTATTCTTGCCTGGAGAATCCAATGGACAGAGAAGGCTGGCAGGTTACAATCCATAGGGTTGCAAAGAGTCAGACACTACTGAGCGACTAACACTAACACACTTTTGATGGAGAGTGGTAAGTGGGAATATTTCTGGGGTGTGTAAGTGCATGCACTTCTGAACAAAAGAGAGCATGGGTGTGTGTGTGTGTGTGTGTGTGTGTGTGACTGGCTCTCAGATTGGGCTCAGAGGACCATGACCTTACACCTCACTCTGTTTTCTGCCCCTTGAGGCTATTCCTTTAGAAATCACGTATTGGGAGCACAACTCTGCCCACGCACTCGCCTAAGTCCTGCTGGGAAACTTTTCCCTGCCAACAACACCAGAGCTGTGGTAAATGTGGTAAAATTAGACACGCAGTCCAGGCTGGGAGCTCTGGGGACCCACTGATGCTCCTGCCTTATACTCACTTAGTCTTGATCTCCAAGTCCTCGTGGCTGGAATGGCACATCTCACTGAAGCGAGACACAAAGAAATCGTAGCTCCGATGGTAGGACGGGGTGTCCTCCTCGATGTTGGCGAACTTCACAAACTGTGTGGTGGGGGAGAGGGAGAAAAGACAGAAAGGTGACCCGCCATGCCCCCCACCTTTGGGCTCTGGCACTTCGTGTCCCCAGACCCTTTGCCATAGGAAAGCCACAGGATAACACATCTCAGGAAACACACACACCCCTGGATCCAGCTCTAGTCTGCTTCCCAGAGCACACTGTGAGATTTGAGAACCAGATTCTGGAGATCTGAGTACCAAATTCTGCTTCCCTTTCTTGCCTACATGAGACAGGAATCCCTGGCCCGTCCCTGCTAGGTGAGCAGAGAATGGAAGAGAAAAGGGGAGCTCCGTCACATAAACTCCTGTTCCCATTAACATCCAGAGCTGCCCCAAACACACAGGCTTCGTGGCTTCATGGAGCAATGCTGCAGTTGAGCAAAAGTCAATCCTAAAGCACAGAGCACCACCCTAGAAGGCATTCTGGGAAACCAGGGCAAATCTGAACTTTGGAAACCGTAACTACATTTTATTGTGAAAATTTTGAGTACATGTTGAAGGTGTACCATTTCAGTTCATTAAGTCTTGCTCAGCATTCTCAGCTGCTAGATCCCTTCTGCCATCGTTGTGCTGCGAATTTGCAGTTCTAAATAGGGACTTGATTTCTACTGAGCCCCGCAGGGAAGCGAGAGTCACAGACTGAGTGGAGTTAAATTACCCAAAATGAAATATAATTCTTACAGCTTATTTTGTTTAGTACCACAAACAACTCTAAACAGATTTGATTTAGACTATATTCTCCATTATTCTGCCTTGTACTATTATTCAATTTTTACAAACCTTTGTTGGTTCAAAAAGGACATACTGTTATTACTAAAATTATCTAGTTAGTACACTCTCACAATATTCAGTATCATCAACCTGTTTTCCCCATTTAAATACTTCAAAGTTGCTAATAACTTTTTTTCAGATGAAAATTAGCAACTCACAAGCATTCTTAATTATTATAGTGTTTTGTTCTTGCAATAATAAATACACATTTATTTTCTGCTGACTCATAGATCTCAACATGCAAAGCAAATAAGGAAGTCTTTCCTTCAAAAATACATCTAAAATGTACATATGTATTTGGAAGTGATAATTCTGCTATTAGCAATAAATCCAAATGACAATTGTTTGATTTCTTGATGTGGCAATGCAGAAGAAGTGTAGTGGTAATCCATGTGATCACAAGATCATCAATTAGACATAAGTTTGGGAGTTCCAGAAACAACGATAAAGCTGTTGTTTGGCTATGTGATCTTCCTAAACCCTGCAGGCTAGAACACAGAGTCAGGCTGATACAGAGTGAGGGGAAGTCACTCAGTTATGTCTGACTCTTTGTGACTGTATAGTCCATGAAATTCTCCAGGTCAGAATACTGGAGTGGGTAGCTGTTTCCTTCTCCAGTGGAACCCAGGTCTCTGGCATTGCGGGCAGATTCTTTACCAGCTGAGCTACCAGGGAAGCCCAAGAATACTGGAGTGGGTAGCCTATCCCTTCTCCAGTGGATCTTCCTGACCCAGGAATTGAACCTGGGTCCTGGTGGCTCAGAGGGTAAAGTGTCTGCCTGTAATGCGGGAGACCTGGTTTCGATCCCTGGGTTGGGAAGATCCCCTGGAGAAGGAAATGGTAACCCACTTCAGTATTCTTACCTGGAGAATCCCATGGATGGAGGAGTCTGGTAGGCTTCAGTCCATGGGGTTGCAAAGAGTCGTACATGACTGAGCAACTTCATTTTCTTTCTTTCTTTCTTTCTCCTGCATTGCAGGCAGATTCTTTGCCAGCTGAGCTACGAGAGTTGATACAGAGGTTGGAGCTAAATACGGGTTCATTGCTGCTCTTAACCACCACCGAGATGGTCCCAGGCTTCCCTGCTGGAATCAGAAGCCTGGCTTGGTCCATCAGGTGAGAGGAGTCATGCAGCTATGTGGTTCTAACTACAGATCTGCCTCCAACTGGTAGGAGGACCTCTCAGTGAGATATTTGACTTCTCTATGTCTTGGTCTTCCCATGTGAGGAACGAGCAGCCCAGTCTTCATTCATTATAGTTCTTTCTTTTATTGATACTCTCTCTACTTCAAATATGCTAAGGCAGTTTAAGATAAGACTGAGTATGCAAGAGTATGTGCATTTCAAAATAATTAAAACAAGACTGAAGAAGAAAAGAGACCAGTAATAAAGAAGGAGAAATTGTTAAAGAAAGACTTGGCCCCTGAGACTTCCCTGGTGGTCCAGTGGTTAAGAATTTGGCTTCCAGTGCAGGGGGCACTGGTTCGATCCCTGGTCGGGGAACTAAGATCCCATGTGCCCTGGAGCAACTAGCCCACCTGCGGGCAACTACTGAGCCTGTGCACTTCAGAGCCCGAGCTCTGCAACAGGAAAACCCTGAGCAGCACAATGAAGACCCAGCACAGCCAAAATTTTAAAACATAATAATAACTAAAAAAAAAAAAAGACCTAGTCCTAAATATATATTGACTGTGTAGACCCAAATATATATCAGGAGAATGAATAATCAGACTTCATGGTCACTGGTGTGGGAGTTGATGGGCTAATAGCAATGATGTTTAGAACATACACGTGTCAGGTACTACCCTAAGCATTTTATATGCATCAGCTATTTCATTTCATGAAATGACTCTAATTTAGAGAGAGATTATTATTCTCACTTTGAAGACAAAGAGACCAAGACCCACAAACGTTACATAATTGCCCAGGGTCCTGCAGGAAAAACCCGGGTATCAACTCAGAGGCCTCACTGCAGGTCTCCTCACTGCTTTGCTCTTGACCCTGGCTTCCTCTAGCACCTCAGACCAAATGACCCAGGAGCATTGCTTTGGGGATGGGGGCAGTTGTCAGGGGGAATGGGCAGAAGATGAAGACACCGCTGGAGAGGACCTTGTGTAAACTAAGTCACTTCAGTTGTGTCTGACTCTGCGACCCCATGGACTGTAGTTCGCTAGGCTCCTCTGTCCATGGGGATTCTCCAGGCAAGAATACTGGAGCGGGTTGTCATTACCTTCTCCAGAGGATCCTCCCGACCCAGGTATCAAATTCCCATTTCTTATGCTCCTGCATTGGCAGGTGGGTTCTTTACCACTAGCACCACCTGGGAAGCCCAGGTGGGGACCTCTGTTGTTGTTCAGTTGCTCAGTTGTGTCTCACTCTTTGCGACCCTGCGGACTACAGCACACCAAGCTTCCCTGTCCTTCACTATCTCCTGGAGTTTGCTCAAACTCATGTCCACTGAGTCAGTGATGCCATCCAACCATCTCATCCTCTGTCGCCCCCTTCTCCTCAATCTTTCCCAGCATCACAGTCTTTTCTAATGAGTCGGTTCTTCATATCAGGTAGCCAAAGTACTGGAGCTTCAGCTTCAGCATCAGTCCTTCCAATGAATATTCAGGGTTGATTTCCTTTAGGATGGACTGGTTGGATCTCCTTTCAGTCCAAGGGACTCTCAAGAGTCTTCTCCAGCATCACAGTTTGAAAGCATCAATTCTTCGGGGCTCAGCTTTCTTTATGGTCCAACTCTCACATCTGTACATGACTACTGGGAAAACTTTGACTATATGGACCTTTGTCGACACAGTGATGTCTCTGCTTTTTAATAAACTGTTTAGATTTGTTATAGCTTTTCTTCCAAGGAGCAAATTCTCCGTCTCTGAGGCCCAGAACTTCCCAGGAGGCTACAGCCTCCCGGCTCAGGCAGATTATTCCACTGCCTCGCTCTCTAAGATTCTTGCTCTGTTACAAGATCTGGGGATGAGACTGTACTTGATGCCATCCAGAGGATGTGAGCCCCATTTGTTACATTATGAGTGGCATTAGGGCTAATAAAACAGTCACTTTTTGGTACCAGGATCTCTGAGCATCCTTGGGAACCTTTGGTTTGGTTGCTTGATAGGAGGATCTTCCCTTCCCCAAGTCTGAAAGTTGGACAACAGAGATGACCTGGTCAGGGAATGCTGGCCTGAGTATCCCCATGGGTGCTGCTCCAAGAGAGCCCACCTTAAGCTGCTCCTGAGTCCTCCAGGGCTGATGAGAGGAGGCCAAAATGGAAACTTTGGTAATCGTGGTTCAGAGGATCAAATCGGAGGGCCCTGGTCATGGGGCCACACTCACTGTAGAAGTCCACATGGAGAACATGCCCAAAGCTGGCTGAGACAGGGGCTGAGACTCTGGGCTTTAAAGCAGAGCCTCCATTTCTCCTATTAGAGGCAGAACAGTGTCATGATTATGAAAAGAGGTTTGAAGCCAGACTACTAGGAGGCTGATCTGAGGCTCTCTGTGCCTCAGCCACCCCATCTGTACAATGGGGCTAGCAAGAGCAGCTGCCTCATAGACTTGTATGATCAGTCCATCACCGTTAACAGTTGCCACCCCATTTTTTCCCACAGTGGATTTCGGGCTTGCTGTCAGTACTCCATGAGTTTCCACTGGGCCTCTGTACTTGTGTGACCCTCTAATGTTGTTAAATGCCTGAAACAGCAGGAACTTCCTGTCTACTTCATGCTGATCACCACTAGTTCATACCTTAAGAATGGCGTTCGTTAAAATGCTGCTTGTCTAATGCATAAGACTGTGAAATAATAAAGTAGGGTTTTTTGTTTTATTTTTTAAAGACATTGTCATGATGAGGAAGGTCTCCATAGCAACAAACTGGAGACTGTGAAGATGTGACACTTTAAAGGTCATGGGCACCACTAGAGCCACCCTTTCATGATCCAAGTTTCAGCTCTTCATACACAACAAAGGGTGCTATGCTTGCAGGAATTGCTCACCCACCCTCTGGCATAGGCAGGAAAGAGCCACAGTTGTATGAAAACTGAGAGTTACTAAGGGGTTGGGTCAATAGAGAGAAAGCAAGCTCCAAATATTGACATTGCAAAACCAGCCCTCCTTGGGTCTGGAAAATGGAAGCTGAGCTGCTGGTCAGCCTTACTTCAGTGCTAGCCAAGTCTCTCCAAGCACAAGCCAGCCTTCTCTCTTCTGTAGTTGGA